ATCCTAACCCGACGGATGGACGGGTCCCCCTTGGGCACATGACCAGGGTCCGGCCAATCAGAGCCCCTCTCCCTTCCAGCCGGAATGACTGGCTTCAAAGAGAGACCCGGTGCCCTCCAGGTGGACAGGGAAATCAATTTCTGGACAGTGGCTGACCCAAGAGGAGGCCCTGTGTCCCCGAGTTGCTCATTTAAGAGCTGCTGGGGGGACGTCACGGCGTCCCGTCGATATAGAAGACAGAGAAGGACCGACATCTCATGACGGCACCTGGATCCAGCCGTACCTGAAGCTGGAGGCGCTCTTGGACGTTTGGATTTCCCGCGCCGACCTTTGGCTCTGGCCGGTTGAGGTTGAGTCACGGAGGGAGGCAGCTGGCGTCCTCTGCCTGGGTGAGGCTCGGGGTGGTTTTTAAGCTCTATGTGGCGAGGGTGGCAGGAATGTCAATTTCTCCAGCAGGTAGATGTCCCTAGGGGACTGATGTGACATGGGTGGCAATCAGAAGCCGCGCCATCACCCATAATTGCGCTTGATTTCCGCGGCGGTGCTGATTGCAGCCTGGGACGATCCTCTGATTTCAGGAGGATGGGGCCGGAGCCCGGGAGGCCTGACGAGGGTGATGGAGGCTGGGCTGATTGTGCAGGAGAAGAGGCCGCCCCGCGCCCCAGACAGGACCCTATTGCTGACTTTGTTTCCTGGTGATGACGGGTCCCTCCCCAGGGACGAGGCTGGCCTGAGCCTGGGCTGCGGTCAGGGAGGGGGCTGCTGAGGAGCAGGAGGTGGGAGGACGGTGTGTGGGCCTCAACTGAGGCCAGGAGGCTGGAAGGAGGCAGGCAGGGTCGGCGAAGCCCTCTGGGGCCCCCACAGGCTGGCTTTCCTCCTGGCGCTGCCCCTGGGCACTCTGCAGCCCTGGCCACCTTATGCAGCCCCTGCTGGCCTCCCGGGCTGTCGCTGTGGATAGTGTCAACCGCCCGGGCCACCAGGGAGCCCAGATCAGCCCCTCCCCTGCGTGCTCGGTGGCTGAGTGACATTCAGCGCATGATCCACGATGGTCAGTCCTGCCTGGAGATGCCCAGGGGAAATGCCCAGAGCCTGGGGGAGGCCTCACACCTGCCTGTGTCAAGCTCGGATGAAGGGGAGCCAGGACCCGGGTTCCTGAGCGGAGTCCCACACTAGTAGAGGCTACGTGGACTCCTTGCCCATCAAAATCCTAAGCAGGGAGTCTGTCCTTGAGGGGTCAACACTGGCCAAGCTCCCCAGCTGCAAGACCATCCCTGATCAAGAGGGTCCCTTGGAGGATGGGGACAGCGGCGCACACCTGTCATCTCAGCAGCTTGGGAGGCTGAGGCTGGAGGATCGCAAGGTGGAGGCCAGCCTCAGCCACTTAGCAAGGCCCTGAGCAACTCAGCAAGACCCTGACTCTAAATAAAATAGAAAAAGGGCTGGGGACAGGGCTCAGGGGTTAGGTGGCCCTGGATTTAGTCCCTGACCAGGGGGGGTCCTTGGCAGGGCAAGTCTGGGGCGCAGAGTCCCAGTCCCTGATGGTCCAGGTGGAATTGCGAGACTCGTCTCAGGTCACCCAAGTTACTGACCACGGGTTGCCCCCAAGCCCTTGGGGTCAGAATCTGCGCTTACCAAGGTCCCCAAGGCGTGAGTTAAATCCTGCCTCAACAGGACAGGTCGGGAGCCTCTGCTCTGAGCAACGGAGGCTCAGCCAGACTACACGTGGGACCCTCCGTGAGTCTCCAAAAGGGTCAGGCGCTGTTGATCTTTTTTTTAAATTTTGGGGGACGGTCCTAGGCATTGAACCTGGGGGGCACTTAACCACTGAGCTTTGTCCCCAGCCCTTTATAGAGGCATTTTTTGAGGCAGGGTCTCGCTGAGTGGCTCAGGGCCTCGCTAAGTGGCTGAGGCTGGCCTCTACCCTGCGATCCTCCTGCCTCAGCCTCCCGAGCTGCTAAAGTCTGTGCTTCTGTTAGGTTCTGAGCCTGGGAAGTCCAGCTCCAAGGGACTCCAGAGGGCCTCCTGATGCCTGCCCTTGTGCAGCTACCCCCAGCTCTGGCCACGTGTCCACAGGGAAGGAAAACCCGCAGCCAGGAGTTTTTAGCAAAAATGTTTAATCTCTCCTTCTTAATGTGTGTGTATTTACAAGTACTAAATTTGAAGAACAGGAAAATAGGAAATAGGCGGATATTTACACACCCGAGGGCTGAGTACCAGTCAGCGATGCTGCTTCGAGAGAAGCCAGGGCCGAGGGCCGGTCACCTGGGCCGCCCAAGGGACCATCCTTGTTTTGGGTGGGGTGGGGGCTTCTGCGGCGGCGTGAAGGGACAGCTAACTGTGGGCGTCGTCTTAAAAATATCTCTCTCTCTCTCTCTAAATATATCTACTCTAGCTTGGGTAGCACCAACGGCGTGAGCCATCAGATCCAGAACTTGGGGACAAATGGGGACAGGGACCTCAGCGAGGGAAACCGGGGGACCAGGGCAGGGGAGGGTGACAGGGTGGCAGGGTGGCAGGGCCTGTACCTGGGACTCGATGCCAGGTGTCCCGGGCACCCTGGGCCCCTCGTCCATGTGTCCCCTCGGGTGCAGGGGACACGGGCCAGGTGGCCGGGCAGTGCTGACGAGCTCGAGGTATATCAAGGGCCGGGGACAGGCCTGCGCATGGGCGCCCCGGGGTGGGGACACGGTGGGGAGCCAGGTGGGGCGGGCGGGGCTCTGAGCGGCAGGTGGCCTCGCAGGTCCCCCGCCAGGTCCCGCTGCAGTGTGGCTGGGGTCGGCTCCTGGGCCTGCAGAGTGGCCCCAGAGGCAAAATGGGTATTCAACTCGGGGACACTTCACCACGGAGCCACCACCCACCTGTCCCCTCTGCAGAGCTGAGTCCCTGGCAGGAGGCCCTGGGAGGTGACCGGTGGAGCCGGGGCCCAGGACCACTACAGGAGGAGAGGCCCACGTGCGAGGCCCGGCAGGGAGGGGCGGCCCGGGGACCGCGGGCTGCCATTCTGGGGACAGCTCGGGGACATGGGCTGGACCGATCGCATGTAAACAGAGAGGCTAAAGTGCAGGTGCCGCCCGGCTGGCCCGTCCCCACGGCCACCTGGGCCCGGGGCAGCCTGGCAGCTGGGTGACGGCCCAGCTCCCCGGGGTGCCCCAGGGTGGAGGGCGGGAGGGGACATGGGGACTGAAGGTGACACGGAGCAAGGACCCCGCGGCTGGGGCGGAACTGGAAGAACTGGGGACCCTGGTGTGGAGCCAGCGTCCAGGGAAGACTTGGGGGACATGGAGGCCCGGGCACGAGCCGGGAGGGAGGAGGGGACCCAGGGGCGGGGTCCTGGCCCACTCAAGGGATGGCCGGGAAACAGCCCGTCTGAAGGGTGACCAGCCTCTGCTCTGGTCCCCGAGTCGGCCCAGGGAGCGAGCCCAGGCCCACGGTGGCCTGGGGACCGCGGTGGCCAGAGCTCAGGCTGGCGGGGACCAGGGTGCCCAAGCCCCGCTGGGCGCCCCGTGGGGTGGGGGACTCCCTGAGACAGAAGTTCACCCTCTTGTCACCGACCCCGGTGGAGGGGCGGCTTCCGACCTGATGTCCACTGGCTCACGCTGCTTAGGAGGGGAGGGGACACCGAGGTGGCAGCCCGAGGGGGCGTGGGGCCTGCGCGTCCCCGGTGCCCGGGGTGGGTCTGGCCACAGCTAGCTGTCCCTTAGAGTCCGGGAGAATCTTTAGTACCATCGAGGAAGTGGAACCTGGGGGCGGGACGGGCCGCTTGGCCGCCGTGGGTGTGTGACCAAGGGACAGATCCCTCTCAATAAATCAAATCAAAGTTGCAAAGGAAACGCGGGTCTCTAACCACCTCTATGTTCAACACTTGCAGTTGGGAAGGTCAACGCAGACTACACGCTACACGATCATGCAAACCGGGGCCCGGGGCGGCGGGCGGCGTGTCCCCCGGGAGTGCACACGCGTGGCCCGGCCCTGGGGACCCGGGCCACCTTCCCCACCGCCCTGACGTCTCTTCCAAGTTGCTCTTGGGACCTTGTGGGGTCCTCTCCGTGGACGGCCCGGCCCCGCGGGAGGGGCCACGTAGATATATACAGACAGATACATATATATATGTACAGGTCTGTCACCAGCTCGTCCTGTCGCTCACGGAGGGCACGGGCGGGCCGCGGCCGACCTCCAGTCCCTCGGGCCTGAAGGGACCCAGGCTGCGGGGTGGCCCTGGGGCTCCCCAAACAGATGCAGCAGGGTTTCTGGTGGCAAAATCAAATCGGTCCCCGGGTGTCCGATGGCTCTGGAAGGGCCAGATGCTGCTGAGAGCCGGACTGGAAGCTGCTTGGTGGGGGCTGGGGCGGGGAGGCCGCAGAGGGAGGCCGAAGAGGGAGGCCGCAGAGGGAGGCCGGAGGCCGTGGCCTGCTGCCTCCAGGAGCCCACCCTGTGGGTGGCCCGGAGCTGGCGCCGGAGCAGGGCTGGAGGGGAATAAATAACGGGAGCATGCGCCCTGTGACCGGAGCCCCAGCCCGGTGGCTCCCAGAGGCACGGTCCTGAGGACAGAGAGGGGTCGCCTAGTCCACCAGTCACTCGGGGGCTGGGAGTGGCGCCCCCTCCATGGGAGGGGACGGCCTCTCTGCAGGGCAGGTGGACGTGGCCCCCCGGCTCGGCCGCGCACAGCACGCGGTGAATCTGACCTTGGCCGTGGGCAGCAGGCTCGGCTGGGCGTGGAGGCCGCGGGGTCTCGCTCCTCCTCTGGCCGCCACCAGGTCCCGGGGACCCCAGACTCTGCGCGCGGGTGGCAGCCCCCGTCCTGTCCTTCCGCAGTGGGCCAGGCTGGCCGCCCCTCGTCCTGGAGGGCTTGGCCTCAGACCACGGCCACTCAGAGGCCACCTCATTCTCCCACGAAGGCCACTGGGCAGCTCTGGCCAGGTGGCCCAGGTCCCTGGGCAGGGCCGGCCAGCCTGGCTCTCCGGGCCCCGCAGCCCGGGCACAGAGGTGGCGCGGTGGGCACCGTCACTTCCACACCCAGGAAAGCGGCCCCAGGAAGCAGGGAGGGAACTGCGCCCCGGCGCTCCGCAGCTGGGCCAGGGCTGTCCCCTGGTCCCCACGCCAGAGCCCTCTCCTCCTCTCCTGCCGGCGGTCACCAGCTGGGCTCAGCTGCTCAGGGCCATCGTGTCCACCACCTGCTCCAGCTTGCTCCGCAGCCGCTGCCGCCGCGCCTGCTCGTCCTTCTCCAGGGCCGCCAGGATCTGCGGGTCAGGGTCAGGGTCAAGGTCAAGGTCAAGGTCATGGTCAAGATCAGGGTCAGAGTCAGGGTCAGGGTCAGAGTCTGGGTTGGGGTCAAGGTCAGGCTCAGAGTCCGGGTTGGGGTCAGGCTCAGGCTCAAGGTCAGGGTCAGGCTCAAGGTCAAGGTCAGGGTCAGAGTCAGGATCAGGGTCAGAGTCAGAGTCCTGGTTGGGGTCAGGGTCAGGCTCAGGGTCAGGCTCAAGGTCAGGGTCAAGGTCAAGGTCAGGGTCAGAGTCAGGATCAGGGTCAGAGTCAGAGTCCTGGTTGGGGTCAGGGTCAGGGTCAGGGTCAGGCTCAGGGTCAAGGTCAGGGTCAGAGTCAGGATCAGGGTAAGAGTCCAGGTCAGGGTTGGAGTCGGGGTCAGGGTCAGGGTCGGGGTTAGGGTCAGAGTCAGGGTCAGGGGCGGGACTGGCCGCCCCTCAGGTGGGGCAGCAGCAGTCACACTAGGTGACCGGCCTCTGCGCGTGCCACCAGGGCCCTTCTGGACACTCCTTCTGTATTTTTCTCTGCAGGGCGGACAGACAGCAGGCCTTCAGCCCCCCTGTGTCCCCGTGGTGCTGAGGACAGACCCAGGGCCTCACGTGCCAGGCGAGCGCTCTGCCCTGAGCCCCGGCCCAGCCCTCTGGCCACTCCTGGCCCATATGACAGTACCCTGTCCCCAGCAGCTCAGAGCAGACACCAGGGGGTCCCTCCATTCCTAGCTGTGGGGAGCAGGCTGCAGCCTGGACAGCCCTGGACCCCCCACCCACACGGCAGGCTCGCTCCCCTCCTGAGGTGTCACAACACAGCCCCTCCTGTCCCACTCTGCCCTTTGGCACTGTGGAGGTCACCTGCGACCCCTGGCTCTCAGGTCACCTGCTCGAGGACTCCCCACCTCTCAGGAGTCTCATGTGGGAGCCCAGGCTGTCCCCTCCGCTGCCCTAGACATGCCCCTGGTCACCCTCTCTGAGCCTCAGCCTGAAGGCCCCTCTGTTGGGACCCAGTGCGGGGCTGAGCCTGCAGCTCCCCACACCCAAAGAGCCGGACCCCAGGCCCCAGACCCACGCCTTCTGGGGTGGCCTCTGCCACCTGTGTGGGCAGCCAGCCTGTGCCCTCCCCCCACAGAATGCACCTGCGTCGCGGCTCGGAACCCAACAGGGCCCACCTGCTCTCTGCGGCTAAGCCTGAGCCCCCCAGCCTGCCCACCAGGGGTGGCCTCGTCTTGCTACCCATGGTTCAGTCCCGTGGCCTCCCATGGAACCCAGTGCCTGGGCACAGGCTGCCCTGCCCTGCCCTGGGGTCCTGTGTGCCCATCAGATGCAGCCCAGGACACAGTCCTCCAACTCGGGGATGTCCACCAAGCCCAGTGAACCCTGTCACGGGTCTTGCAGGAGTGTCAGGAGGGACCCACATTCTCCCGCTGGGAAGGCCACGCCACCCGGTCTCCCAGGCTCACTGCCCTGTGTGTCCCCACTGGGACCAGTGCTCCCCCCGCTGTGGCGAGCCCAGACCTCCTGCTCCCTGGTATGGCCCCTCCCGCCACAGGGCACTAGGGCTGCCGGGGGCCGCGGGTGGAGGGCCTGGTGGGCTGAGATGCGGGGTGCAGGGCGCGGGGCTCACCTCGTCCTTGTACTTGGTGATGTAGGAGTAGATCTCGTGCAGGGCGCTCATGCTGTTGAACTGGCTCAGGTGCAGCCGCGACTGCTCCGCCAGGTACGCGCTCATGTCCTGGTCACTGATGGCGGGCATCTTGGCGATGTCGGCATAGTACCTTCCAGAAGGCGGTGGGGCAAGTGAGTGAGAGGGTCCCAGCCCCCAGGGTCCAAGCCGGCCCCCAAGGCCCAAACCCCGCCCCAAGGCCAAGCCCTGCCCCTAAGACCCAAGCCCCGCCCCCAAGACCCAAGGCCCGCCCCCAAGACCCAAGCCCCGCCCCCAAGACCCAAGGCCCGGCCCCAAGGCCAAGCCCCACCCCAAGGCCCAAGCCCCGCCCCAAGCCCCACCCCAAGGCCCAAGCCCCGCCCTCAAGGCCAAGCCCCACCCCAAGGCCCAAGGCCTGTCCCAAGGCCCAAGGCCCGCCCCCAAGGCCAAGGCCTGCCCCCAAGTGCCCTGTGCCCACCTCTCCACCCAGCTCTTGTAGTTGGGGATGTCCTTGGCGTAGAGCAGCTTGTTGGAGGGCGAGTCCTTGCCCAGCTTGTGCTCCGACGTGGAGCAGGAGTCCATGAAAGTCTGGGCCACGACGGACAGACAGGCGTCCGTGATGCTGTTCTTGTGGATGTCGAACACAAACTGCGGGTTCTTGATCACGTTCACCCAGAAGCGCAGGGGCAGGCTGCGGGCAAGCAGGCATGGGCCCCCGGTCAGCTGGGCCGCCCCTCTGAATGGCACCGGGAAGGGACCGGCCAGCCATCTCGTGGCCCTCCCAACCCTGACCTCCAGGGACAGTGTGGAGTTCAAAGCAGATGAGGAAACAGAGGTCCAGAGTGGACCAGCTGGTGCCTGCCAGAGTGCCCACCACTTGGAGCCTCCCAGAGCCTAACTGGGTGCTCAGATGTGCATTCGTCACCATCGTGGTCATGCACATGTGGTCACTTACAGGTGGACGTGTAGGCCCAGGGCCCTGAGGCCCACTGCAACACAGTGGCTTTCCCAGGGGCATGTGTGCTTGGCTTGCACCCCTGCTCCTGGCTGGGGACCCACCACTTGGCTCCAGTGCAGGACATACTCTGACCTCCGCCTACAACACCACCTCAAAGACTGCCACCAGCCGGGCCACCCAGGGCTGTGTGTGGCTACCCGTAATCGAATGACTGAAAACTGGTTGGTGGCCCCAGGCACACACCAAGTGCTCAGCAGCCCCAGGCTGCGGCCACCACTCTGGCTGGCGTGGATGCAGGATGCTCCACACTGCAGGGCTGTCCTGCGTGGGCTGACCGGGGCTGACCTCCCCAGTAGACCCCGCCTTCCCGCTGCCAGGCGGCCCCTTCAGCACGGCCCAGGGGGGATCTCTGGGCCTCAGTCCTGACCAGGGTCCCATGGGCCGCACAGGTGGGCTGAGGGAGGGGCTGGGCAGGAGCAGTTGGGGCGGGGGTGTGGGCGGGGCCAGTGGAGGGCGGTGCTCCTCAGTGGGTGGGGCCCGTTAAGTGGCAGCCTGGAGACCACCAGAGTCCTGGAAGGGGAGAGACAACCAACTGGGGAGGATGGAGGGGCACAGGTGACCTAGAAAGGAAGATGGCCAGAGGCCACCTAGAGTGCTAGGGCTCAAGGGGACGAGGCCAGGCAGGGTATGGCTGCGGGCCTGGCATGAGGGCACCGCTGGCCACGTGGACATAGAAACTAGTGGAAGCGGGGCTACAGGACCCACAGGAAGGAGGGTCATCCAACTACGCGGTGGGGACCCTCAGCCTCGCCAGATCCTTGAACCTGGCCTGGTCTTGCTCCAGACCCATCCCTCCACTAGGGCCAGGACTGACAGAGCACAGGGCTGCGTCAGTGGCCAGGGCTCGCAGGACAGGGTGTACTGACCGGCCTTGGGGACCCTCAGAAGAGAGCAAGAGGCCTGCGAAGTCCAATGGTCAGGAGCCCTGGAGAGGGGCCTGCGGAGCTGGGCAGTCCACACCTGGGCAAAGAGGCCCTGGCCGCAGAAGGCAGACCAGGCCCGAGGTGGGCATGGGAGGGGGCACCCTAGAGGAAGCCCACCCAGAGGCTGGATACCTCTCCCCACTCAGGCTCACACATGGGACCCCAGGGGCCTGTGGGGGTCCGGCTCGGGCTCACTGCCCTGAGGTTCCATGTTCTCAGTGCATAGCGGCCTGGGCCCGGGCACGGTGCTCAGCGCAGGACAAGGGTGCTGTGGCTGCCCCTGCCCTCCGTGGGGCGCCTGCCTGTGCCCTGCCCCAGCTGCTCCTCTAAGGGCGCCCCAGCCACCCCCAAGCTGCCCCAGCTGCTCCTGCAGGCGATGCACTGGCCCCGCCCAGGCCCCCCCTTCCAGGTGCTCCTGTAGGTGGTGCACTGGGCACGCCCACTGAGGAGCACCGCCCTCCACTGGCCCCGCCCACACCTCCGCCCCAGCAGCTCCTACAGGTGGTGCACTGGCCCCGCCCTCCAAGCAGCACCGCCCTCCACTGGCCCCGCCCACACCCCGCCCCAGCTGCTCCTGCACGTGTTGCACTGGGCACGCCCACTGAGGAGCACAGCCCTCCACTGGCCCCGCCCACACCCCCGCCCCAGCTGCTCCTGCAGGTGGTGCACTGGCCCCGCCCTCCAAGCAGCACCGCCCTCCACTGGCCCCGCCCTCAGAGGGGCCCCCCCCCCGCAGGCCCCGCCCTCCGAGTGGCACTGCCCCGCCGGGCCCGGCGCTCTCACCAGTTGCTCTTCCAGGTGTGGCGCACGTGCGGGTCGTGAATGCCGTGCCTGTCGGCCTGCTCATCCAGGAAGTCGAACATGTACTTGATGGCCAGGGGCAGCGCCGAGCCCCGGTGCGCCGTGCTGAAGATGGTCTCGAACAGGTCGTCCACGAACTTCTGCAGCGTGCCCTGCGGGGGAGGGACGAGCACCCAGAGCTCAGCGCCCGCCGCTGCCGCCCCGGGGAGGACAGGCTGGCTCTGAGCGCGGTGGCCTCAGGCTGGGGCCCCACGCCTGCCCGCCCGCCCGCCCGCCGGACCCACCTTGGTGGCCAGCAGCCGCGTCAGGTAGATCTCCGAGACCATCTTGCTGCCCCGGTCGCCCTCGCGCTGGTCCAGGTGGTCGTGGTTCTTCACCAGGTGCCACAGCTTGGTGCCGCTCTCCAGGTCGGGCGTGATCATGGGCGTGCGCGAGCGCAGGCTGTCGGGGCTGCTGGCCGTGCGCAGCATGCTCTCTGCGGGGACCAGGCCTGTCAGCAGGCGGAGCCCTGAGCCCTGTGCCACTCCCCACGGCCTGCCACAGCTGTCCCCCCATCCAAGAGCCGGGGACATCGCCCCTGCCTCCCTGGCCGCTGGGCATGGCCAATCACGCACGCGACACAGCTGAATGCACTTGGGGACATGCTGTTGGGGAAGGGGCACAGCCTCCAGGACTTAAGAGAAAGGCCAAGGGTGACAACGTCCCCTCCATGTAGCAGAGCCCGGGGAGGTGTCCTCCCAGGCCCTGGGGCCCCGGCTGACCCCTCCCCCAGGCCCCCCCTCACCGTATCTGCTGAGGGACTTGGTGAAGGTGGAGGAGTTGGAGATGTTGTAGGCCGAGGTCTGTTTGGGCACCAGCGCCACTGAGGACCCGTCTGTCACCTGCGGGCAGAAGGAAGGGGCTACAATGAGTCCCCAGGAGACTAGACACCCTGCTGGGGACCTGAGTGACACCCCTGCTCCTGTCACCTTACCACTCTGAACATCAGTTTCCTCATCGGGACAGTTTCAGAGATATGGGGAGGACCCCAGGGGCCGTGGCGGGCCTGGGACTGTGCACACAGGGACTTGGCCTCCTTTCCTCCCCCCGGGCTGGTCATCTGGCAGCCGCGGGTCCTTCCCTGGCACCCGAGGGGAGCTGTGACAGGGGCAGCCAGGCACCTGGTAGTGGGCCAGCGTGTTCAGCCTCTTCCAGTCATTGTCGATCTTGGTGGTGACGTCCTCGTCCTGCAGGATGATGCGGGCCATGCGACCCTGGCGCCACTCTGCAGGGAACAGGGCGCTGGAGGGGGGGACTCGAGGTCTTGGTCCCTCCCGATGCAGCCCCTCAGCTCGGGGCTGGGGACAGGACTGTGGGGAGGGGCAGGGGCTTGCAGGGCTCTGGGTGAAGGGCCTTAAATACCAGAATATCGAGGGGTGAGGTTCCCCCTGGATCCCACTATGTGGGCAGCTTCCAGCCACTCCCAGATGGAGACCTCTGCCTTTGGGGACCCCTTCCCCAGGCTCCAGGCCCCTCCCCCATGGTGGCCCTGCCCCAGCTGTTCTGGCCACATCTGCTGTGGGTCCCCAGAGCCCCATACCCCAACCCTCCCGTGGCCCTCCAGGGCTCCCCCTCACCCAGCCCACAAGCCAGAGGTCTCCGCTGTGGCCAGGAGAACCTGCCCCCACAAGCCCCCTTGGTGTCCCCACCAGTCATCCAGGTGGACCAAGGCCCTGCCCAGACCCCTCCCCCCAATGCCTGGCCTGGGGATCCTGGAGCCACCTCCCCCTCCCCCGCCTGGGCGCACCCAGGTCCCCTGCCCAGAACCCACTGACCACCACGTGGCTGGCAGGAGGCCCGCCTGCTCACCCAGGTCCATGTCCCCAGCCTTGGGCCGCTGGGAGTAGGGCACCCCCTTGTACACGGCATCTAGCAGCTTCTCCTTGACCTGCGTCACCGTGTCACAGTTGAGCCCCTTCACGGGCACCTCGGGCGCGTTCTCGTTCTCGGGGTTCACGCAGTTCAGGGTCTGCAGGGGAGGGTGGCCCGGGGGACATCAGCCTGTGTCAGCCCGGCTCCCCTGGGCGTAGCCAGGGCGGGCTCTGGGGAGCGCGTGGAGCGGCGACAGGGACAGGCGGGGTGGCCCTCACCAGGGTCTTGTAGTCGATCTGCTGGCGGATGAGCTTGTCCTCGCTCAGGGAGTAGCGCGCCTCGCCCGTGATGGCGTCGATGGGGCCCTTCTCCATCTGCTGCTTGATGGCGCAGTAGAGCATGAACAGGGGCTCCCCGGCGCACTCCTGCAGGTGGGGTCGGGGGGCGTCGTGAGGCCGCGATCCCGGGCTCCCCAAAAGCCCCTGGCCCTCCCAACGCCATCCCTGTTGCTCCCAGGCCAACAGAAACAAGCGTCCCCTTCTCAGAGGCGAGCGTGTCCCCGATGCCAAAGCCCCGGGAAGACGGCAGGACAATCAATGCAAGGCGCAGACCCGGCACCTCATGAATATGCATGAGCGCGCCCTAAATAAATCATACGTCGGGAGCCCAGGAGATGCCCGGATGTGTCCCGCCACGCAGGGCCCGGGGGAGTCGGGGGCAGGTCCACGGCACCCTGCAGACCCCAGGGGACCAGGGCCACCCGCGTCCCACTCACCGATCTCAGGACACAGCCCCCCCCAGGAAGCCCCCCCCCCGCTCCCCGTGGCCCATTGCACGGGTGGATGCTGCACCCCACACTCTGGGGGGACTGTGATCTGCTAGATGTCGGGGACCCCCCTGGCTGGAATCTCTGGCTGCTCAGAAAAACGATCCCCAGGCACCTAAGGGTGCATCTAAGGGTGCCCCGAGCGCAGCAGGGGTCCATAGCCCAGGCCAGAGTGGCAGAGCGCACCTGCTGCCCCCACTCCTGACCCCAGCTCAGATGCTGTCCCTACCCCTGCACCCTCTCTCACAACCTGTCCTGTTGCCCCTGGAGAAGAAGCTGCCCAGGACCGGGCACCCTGGTGGGTTTGGGTGCAGGCCCCCCACTCCTGATCTGAATGAATGAGACCATGCACCTGCGCCTCCACCTTGCAGGGCCTGAGCTGGCTGTGTCCCCTCCCTGCACCAGCGGGTCCCCACGGGGCCTGGGCTCAGGGTCCTCCGCAGGTCTGGGCCACCCGGTGGAGTGCAGATGATGCTGTGCCCCAGGTGGGCAGCTCAGGCCGTGCTCCCTCCCCCCCTCCCCGGGGGGCCCTGGCACACAGACAGTGGCTCTGTCCCTGTAACCAGATGCTCCGGGCACCTCGTTAGCATCTGCAGTAATTAAAGAGACAGCTGCTAAGGAGCGGCCACAAACACAGATCATCCGGAGACCTTCCAACAACAGGCCTGTCTTTGAAATTATGTTTCATCTGCAAACTTGGCTTCATTAAGTCGGCTGCAAGGAGGAGGGATGCGGAGATCAGCCACCCTGTTGTCAGGAACCGCCTCTCTGCCTGGGGACACCATCTGATGGGAGAGAGGGAGGCCCGAGCCTTCTGGGGTTTCCCTAGATGCCTGCTAGAGGGTTCTGCCAGACCTGGACCTTGCAGAGGGTACAAATGGCATTGCTACAGCCTCGGAGGGTCAGAGATGGGAGGCCACAGGGCCCACAGTCATTCAGTGAACATCTCAAGGCACCAGGATTTGAACCCAGAGCCATCTCACATCAATGCACCTGCCCCTTCAATTCCAGGGGTTCTCCGGTGGAGCCGGTGGTTCACTCCTGATCAGGTGCCGCCTTCCATGACACGGGCACAGAGGGTGTGAGGAGATGGGAGGCTGCAGAGGAGGGAGGCTCAGAACCTAAGAACTCCAGAGACCACGACCTTTCCCTCCTGGACAGAGGTTCGTATGTGGTGGGGGGCTCAGACCCTCCGGAATGCACAGAAACGACCAGATGAAAAGTGCCACTTTTCCAAGAAGAAGAAACCCCAGTAGAGACAGTTCAATACAGGATGGTAAGTCAAGAGATTCTCCATTGGGGGCAAAGAAATCCAGATAATCCCTACCTCACTCCATAGACAAGTAAAAATCATTTCTTGGCAATCGTAGGGGTTGTAAAAGATGGAAAGTGGGTATTATTTAAACCCTCCTACAATACGCTAAAACAAGGAACTCTAGAAACACACAAAGGATAAAAACAGGTGTTTGCAATCCTGACTTCAAAGAAAACACAAAGGTGCCCGGTCAGGCATGTGAAAAGATGCACGAGTTACTAGACATGGTGGTGAGTGTCTGTAAACCCAGAGACTCGGGAGGCTGAGGCAGGAGGATTGCAAGTTGGAGGCCAGCCTCAGCAACTGAGGGAGACTCTGAACAATTTAGGGTAGACCCTGCCTCAAAATAAAATATCAAAAGGGCTGGGGATGTGGCTCAGTGGTTAAGTGTCCCTGGGTTTGATCCCTGGTACCAAAACAAGAACATAAATAAAATTTTGAAAAATGAATTTCCCTCCTTTTTTAAGGCAGGATAATACTCCACTGTATACCGTTGTATAAAACTGTCTCCCTTTATCTGCTGGGGGCATGTCCCCAGGTCCCCAGGAGGTGTCTGAGGCCTTGAGCAGAGCCAAACCCTACACACACTGTGTTTTCTCAACACAATCCAAGCCCCTTCTTGCGTAAGTGTAGCCATTCATTACTTGCAGTAGATGTGTCTAAACTATCACACAGGTTCGGAGCTTTCTGTCGTGACTCACTGTCATCAACGGGGACACATTTTCTGTCCATGTCATCCACACACAGCTGTGACACCTCTTCATCTTAACTAAGCCCTTATCACGCACAGTAGCTGCAACTTTTGCAGTTTGAGGTGAGACAGCAAAACTAGAGCACGTTTCTTTTTTCTTCGCGATTTCGCGGATAGAAAATTCATTGTCACCATAGGTCTTTTGCAGCCTCAGCATACAAATTCTTTCTTTCCATATTGAGAACTGGTGCTTCAAGGAAGCACTTTCCAGTTTCTCTTTGGGAGAGTAAGTAAAATAAGGTCGCGTGAACACAGGTACTGCTGGACAGTTGACGTGATAAACCAAGATGGCTACTCAGTAACTAACGGGAGAGTAGCATATACAGGGTGGATACAGCGGACAAAGGCAGAATCAAGTTCCAGGAAGGACATGTGAGATTCCATCCTGCTTCTCAGATGGGAGGCAATTTAGAACTTACTAATTGCTTATTTCTAAGACAGTTTTCCATAGATTATCTTCAGGCTGCTCTTGACCACAGGTAACAGAAACTAAGAAAAGTAAAAGAGTAGACAAGGAGACTACGGTATCGGCCACATTTTGCTTACGTCTTCATCTTCTGCTGGACGCACGGACTCCCTGCCCATTATGCTAAGTTGAACTAGGTCATGGTTCCACTTATATACGGAGCCCAGAGCAGTCAAAGGCACACAGACAAGAAAGCCCAGTGGTAACTGCAGGGGCTGAGGGGCAGGGGAGGAGGGAGAAGGTAGTATCGGCACGGCCAGCCCTCTGTGTGTGCGGTCCCCCGGGGCCACGCTCTGCCAGGTTTCCACCGACTTAGGACCCGGGAGCAGATCTGCTGCCCGGCATCCCGTCCCTCTGGTGATGGAGACTCGGGAGGCCGAGGCAGGAGGATCGCAAGGTGGAGGCCAGCCTCTGCCACTCAGCGAGGCCCTGAGCCACTCAGCGAGACCCTGTCTCTCAATAAAATAGAAAAAGGGCTACGGATGGGGCTCAGGGGTTAGCACCCCTGGGTTCAGTCCCTGGGACCAGGAAAAAAAAGGCTGGGTGCCCGCCAGCCGACTCTCTGCCCAGGGCTCTCTTGCTTCACCTCCTGGGCCACGTGGCCTCTGCTCAGTGTCACCCTCCTTGGTCACTCCCTGCGCCTGTGCCCCTCACCTCGCCCCCCCTCCTCTACTGTCTCTCCTTCCTCAGGCAAGGGACGTCCTTCTGGGGACATGGCTCTGTCCACAGACGTGCCAGTGGATTGTCCCTGAGCCAGGCTGGACAGGGGACAGCAGAGGGAGGACCGGAAGTCCTGAGGGGCGGCAGAGGCCTGGATTCAGCATGGAGCACTGGCCCTCGCCCTTGACCACCAGGCTGCACCAGTGGTCACCCTGTCCAGGGGAAGGCAGGCGGGTGGGTCTGTGACGCCCAGCGCAGAAACACAGGCCGTCGCTCAGCTACTCAGAACCCAGCTAAAGTCCCCGGGACCACGTCCAGGGGCTTATGGGAGAGCCAGGGCCACCAGACACAGTCCCGAGAGGCCCGCGCCCTCCACGTGGGCAGAGACCCCACCTGCTGCCCACCGTCCAGCATCTCCCTCTGGCTCTCTGATCCCTGTGTCACTGACGCTCTTGTGACAGAGGGCCACCCTGGCACCCTCTCTGGGACGCGCCCCACCGGCCCCCACTTGCCTTGAGGAACTTGTACAAGAGGAAGGTGAACCAGTTGGTCAGCATCTTCTCTGCCACCGACTCGGTCCTGAGGTTGCAGAACAGAACACAGCCATGAGGTCCCTGCAGGCCCCACCTACCACGTCCACCCCCCTTTCAACAGGGTTGAAGGTGCCCACAAGCTGGGCTCGGTGGTGTACTCTTGGAGTGCCAGTGGCTCCGGAGGCTGAGGCAGGAGGATGGCAAGTTGGAGGCCAGCCTCAGCCACTCGGCGAGATCCTGTCTCTCATTAAAATATAAAAAGGGGCTGGGGTGTGGCTCTGTGGGTAAGAGGCACTGGGTTCAATCCCTGGTACCCCCTAAAATGGGGCCTGGACATGCCGGGTGTCTGTGGGAGGCTGGGTGTCTGTGGGAGGCCGGTGGAGGCCGGGTGTCCGCGGAGGCTGGCGGAGGCTCACCGGCGCAGCAGCAGCTTGGGGTGGTTCTTGCTCTCCAGGTTCTTCTCGATGAGGTCGGACAGCAGCTGCTTGAGCACGCCCGTGGCGTACTCCATCTCGCCCTGCAGGGCCGTCATGATGAGTGAGGCCACGTTCCCGCGGTCGCGCATGGAGAAGCTGCGCTGGGCCTCGAGCGTGCGGATGAAGGTCAGCAGGAAGTGCTTCTTGGTCAGCAGCTGCCCGAACAGCGTCAGCGACTTCTCCACGTTGGCCTGCACCTGCGGGAACACGGCAGGCTGCTGGGCCTCGACAGGGAGGCCAACGGTGGGAGGCACGCCCTTGAGTCCCAGAGCCTGCTGCCCTCCTTGGCAGAGTGGACATGCCCTAGAAGTGTTGTCCCAGCCTGTGCTTTCAGGATAGACCTAGACCACTGCCCACGAGATGCCCACTGCAGGCAGACATAACATGGGTGTCACCGTGGTGGTGGAACTTAGGATGAGAGGGCTGGTTCCTGGCAACCTCTCTGTGGCTGAGCCCTTTGACCTGCCCTGGCTGGTGTCAACAGAAGAAGCCAGCTCCCCGAGGGCCCTGTGCTGGTCGGCCACGGGTCCCCAGCTGGGCGCTCATACCTGCCAGGCCACTGGCTGCCTGTGGTCACCCTGGGACCCAGAGGTGGAGGACAGCAGTGACCTGCATGCCCGGGGCCAGCCAGCAGGCCTACCTCCATCTCCTTGAGCACAGGGTGGTCCTCGATGCCCGGGAAGAGCACCCGCATGGCGTACGTGCGGTAGTCGAGGAACGGGATGCCCGCGCCGTCCAGGTCATTGGTCAGCTCATGGATGTCCGTCTGCAGCTCTGCGAAGGCTGTGGCCAGGCGCGGGGTCAGGGGCCATTCACCAGAGTCCCCGATGCCCTCCTGCTGTGGGGGCAGGACCTGGGCCTGGCTCTGCCTGTCCCTGCCTCCCTGCGCCTCAGTGTCACCCACCCCAATGCACGCAGGACCTTGTCCCTCACTGGGCCAGGCCGGCTGGGGCCTCCTGTGCCCAAAAGGCTCTCAGTTAAGGGTGGGTGGGAGGTGGCTGGTGGCAGGCAGGCTGTCCCTGGGCTCCCAACCCCCCAGGCTGGGAAGTGCCACCTGCCAACCTGGGCCCTCAGTGGCTGCTCCACCCCCGCCAGTCCTCTCTCGTTCAAGAACAAAGGCCGGCTGGGCGGTGGGGCGGCTCCGCAGAACATTCCAGAGCTGTGAGGTGTCAGCCCTCCAGCCGCCCCAGGGACATGCTATCTGATCAGGAGCCAGAGGATCGGGCGGGCTCTGGGAGACGTCTGCCCGTTTAATTAAGAGTTGGGCCTTCATCTCCTGGGCACCGGTGCCAGGCGTCTGTGCATCTCCAGCTGCTCTGAAGCAGCTGCTGGCCACCCCTTCACACGCGCTCTGGCAGGGGCACCGCGCACACGGGCTCAGCTGACAGCCGGCCTCCACCAGGGAGAGCCTCAGGGGAGGCCGGGCCTCCCCTGCACACATCTGCCTCCTGTCAGCTAGGACTTCCCACAGGGCAAACCTGGCCACCTGCAGGCCACTCGGTTCTGCAAGGGACTTAGTTTAAGAGGAGCCAAGCCCCAGGCCAGGGGGTCCCCTGGGAGTTCCTAATAACCCAGGACAGAGCCACAGAGCTGAGCGTCCCAGCCTGTGAGGGGCCGCATGGAGACCCCGCCCACATCGGCCATCTGCACCCACAGCACCTGGGGCAGGGCTGGCTCTGCCAGGGATGAGTATAGGACAGTTCTGTGATGTGCTGGGCAGAGGTGGTGGCCCCTGGTGACCCCGTGGATCACACAAGGAGCCCTCTGTTCCAACCGTGCTCACCCACCCCTAGCCCACGGTCAGCACAGCTGTGACCTCTGCCCACCGGGAGGCCACCTTCTCTGGCCATGCCCCCACCCATCCTTGGGCTCCGCCCACTCAGGCTCAGGGGCTTCAGGGGGCCCAGGCCTGTCGCACCCGAGGGCTGGACGGACACACGTCCCCTGTCCACAGGACAAAGCTGCCTGACTCAAGGATGAAACGCAGCCCACTGAGACCTGTGTGCACCCAGGGGTGACAACAGCCACCAAGGAGAAGCAAAGGCTGCCACACTGCCCACTGGCCACCCTGCCACCAAGCGTGACACCCAGGGGGGTGCCCAATCTGCCGATGAGGAGGCTGAGGCACAAAAAGGCCGGGTGTCCTGGCCCCTGAATCAAGGCTGCACTGGGGTACAAACGGGGTGGCACCCCGCGGCCCCGGGTAGGCTGCTGACCCCTCCCTGGCGTCAAAGGCCCCCAGAGCAAGGACACAGGAACCAAGTCAAGGGAACCAGTGCTGGTGGTCAGGACAGGCGGCTGCCCCTGCTCCTTGAACTCCAGGACAGGGCCCAGACCCCGCCCCTCCACCGTGACTCCGCCCCCACACCACCTTGCACTCCATGGCCACGCCCAGACGCCCGCCCCTCCACCCTGACCCTGCCCCACACTCTCCTAGCACTCCATGGCCACGCCCAGACCCCGCCCCCTCCCCCCCCACCCCGCCCTACACCCTCCTAGCACTCCATGGCCACGCCCAGACCCCGCCCCTCCAACTTGACCCCACCCCCACACCATCCTCACACTCCAGGGCCACGCCCAGACCCCCAGCACCCTGACCCCGTCCCCACACACCCTCCTTGCATTCTAGGGCCATGCCCAGACCCTGCCCACTCCACCCTGACCCCGCCTCCTCCACCCTAACCCCGCCCCCTCCACCCTAACCCTGCCCCCACACCCTCATCACAGTCCAGGGCCACGCCCAGACCCGCCCCCTCCACCCTGACCCCGCCCCCACACACCCTCCTTGCACTCCAGGGCCACGCGGGACTCCAGGTTGTCCATCTGCAGCTGCAGCCGCTTGAGGGTGCGGTCGGCGTCGCGGGACTTGCGCTTGTAGGCGATGAGCACGGCCACGATGACCAGCAGCAGCAGGCCCCCGCCCCCGCCGATGCCCACGATGGCGGGCAGCGTCAGCAGGCTGTCCGAGTACACCTGCAGCATCCCAGGGGAGAACTCGAAGCCGCCGGCCCGCACCTGCAGGGCGGAGGTGCAGGTAGCTCAGAGGCCCCTGCCCATGGCCCTGAGGGTCCCACCCCCCACGGTGACACCTGCCTGCACGCTGCAGGCGACACCCTGCCAACGGGGCCTAGAATGGCAAGAGTGGGGACACGAGGGCCCAGGGACCAGGCTGGGCAGGGCTCACAGGTCAAGAGGGCGGGTGGGCGGGCGGACGCACCGTGACCTTGTGCTGGCCTGTGAGGTTGGGCGACTCGCAGAGCAGCTGCGTCTCGGACACGGTGAGGACGCAGGGCGTGGAGCCGATGAGCACCGTGTAGTTGAGCCGGGAGTTGCCTGGCGCGGGGGGCAGCAGGTTCCGGCCCTGCGGGGATCGGGGTGCCACAGCGGCGATCAGAGGGGCCTCTGCTCCCACCCGCACCCTGTACCCCTCCCAGGGGTGCGGGACCCACCTTGAGGATGAGCGGGGAGCTGGGCTTCAGCTCCAGGAGGCCCGTGGGGCTGAGCGGCTCCAGCACGGGGTCCGGGTAGTAGACGAAGGTGGACGAGTTGAGCACCAGCAGCGCGCGCACGTTGTCCATGACGAAGCCCAGCTCGTCCGGCCGCTCCCCCAGCTCCGGGGGGCTGCGCGTCGGGTTGTCCACGGATGGCGCCCGGCACACCATGGTAGTGTCATTGTACACCATGCAGCTCTGGGGACACAGCGCACCACCATGCAGGGCGGGCCTCAGAGAGGCCAACTCCCCCAAGGCACAGCCCCATCCAAGGGGCTCCCTGCATGGACCACCCACCATCCAGGGCCACCCTATGCAGGCCGCTGCCCACCGAGCCACCAACCAGGGCCCCGGCGGGGTCTGCAGACGCTGTGGACTTACATTCTCCCTCTCGACACCTCCATACTTGGCCCGGATACGGGGTTCCCGGACCGTGGCCAGATTGGTGCCCGTGACGGTCAGGAGGGTCCCACCACTGGAAGATGAGTGGAGAGTCATCAAATGAGAAACAGGAGGGGCGGCGCAGCCCCAGAGGGACAGAGCCCCACCCCCACCCCCCAGGGACACCAAGCCCGTCATCTTCCAGCAGGACAGGCAGGCGGGACCTGCCACCAGGCAGGAGGGCTCCCACCTGTTGATGCTCCACGCGGGATCGATCTTCAGGATGGTGGGGTCCTCGGTGTAATTGTACTTCACGTCGGGGTTGGCCAGCTGGGCGCGGTTGATGTTGATGACCACGGGGGCACTGCCAGGGCTCTGCCCAGGGGGTGTCAGGCAACGGATCTCCCGGGAGTTCCTCCTGGGGGGGCCCGAGGGCACCGTGAGGTGGCATCCAGGACAATTCCAGAGTGTCCTTAAAGATGAGCTCATGGGAAAGGGGCTGGACCTGCCTCCTGATGGCTGACTGCTCATGACTGCCACTTTCATACCCTCCTGGGGCCACCCCCCACGCCCCTCGGACCCTGCTTGGCAGATGGACTTAAGTGCCCTCCACTCCCCTGGGCCTCCCTCTGCTACCCCTGCCTCAGGTGACCCCAGCCAGGGATCCACACCCACCAGGACTTTGCCTCTTCTGCAGCACAGGCAGCCAATGTCCCTGCCTGTGGCTTCAGAGTATTGCCACCGCCCCAATGAATCAGACCCCTTCCCTGTGAATGTCCCTCAATCGGGAAAACGAGGCTTCACCCCTGCATCCCTGGGTCTCAGGTGACATGAGCCAGGCTGACATCGAGGTCACTGGCTCACCCGGCAGCCAGTTGGTACTACCTACACCTGTCCCCTCAGCTCCGTCACCACGGCCTGGAGGCCCTACCGTGGGGCCTGGCTCAGCTGCAAACACCAATGATGAGTCTGATAACGGGTAATTACCACAGGAAAATATTTAAAGGGCCGTTCCATTATCATCTCTAATCTAAAATTATCCACTTCAAGCCTCAGGGCTTTTGTTAAGATGTCTGTTTGCTTTCTTCAAAAAAAAACCTTTTTAAATACTTCTTATTTTGTTCCCAAGGGAGTCCCCTGTTCCTAGGCAAGGACAGGGGCGGAGGCAGCCAGGTTGTGCCCGCCCCCTGGAGCCAGGCCACGCCCTCCCGTCAGCTACCCTCTCTCCTCCCTCCTCTCCCCATGCTGGAGGGAGCCCCTGTCTCCATGGTAACCTTCTCCGCCTCCGGGTTTCCATAGTGATCACCCCAGCCAGGCTCTCCATACCCCGGTTTCCTTGGCAACGGAAGGGGGCACAGAGTACATGTGAACCAGGAGGAGGGACAGCCCTGGCCCCCAACTACCAGTAGAAGAGGTGAGCCATGCCCTGGCCCCCCACTCCCACCTGCACCCCGTACCAGGAGAAGGAACAGGGCCGGCCACCGATGGATACTGCCACATCACTGCCCGCGTTCAGGTGGCTCCCCTCGATGCCAATCCAGGTGCCCCCTGACAGAGGCCCACGGGAGGGACTCACGCGGTAGAAGGTTGGTGTCTGTAAGAAGATGGACTTGTGAGAGCAAAGTCCCCCACAGGTCCCACAGGGACAGGTCTTGCTCTGCCAACCTGCACTGCCAGCTGTGGCCCTAGCAGCACAGAAGCCCCACAGCTGCGGTCTCAGAAACTGTCCAGGGTGGCCAGAGAAGGCTGGAACCCGAATCAGCACAGGAGGGGAGGGGACAGCCCCTGAGGCTGCAGAATAGGACAGAGCATGGCTGGACCAGGGGACCCCGAGGCGGACAAGCAGGTGGGCTGTGGCCAGAGCCTGCCCCTGTGCCCAGATGAGGCCCCAGGGCCACCTCGGACAGGCAGGGAGCCAAGCGCCGCATGGGCGGGACTTACCACAAAGGTGAAGCGCTTGGGCGACAGGGCCCGGTAGTGGAGGGTGCAGTCCCTGACGCACACCTCCACCAGGGCGTCGTGGGCTCGCACCGTGCTGGCGTCCCCGATCTCACAGACGATCCTGCGGGCGCAGGCCGGGCCTCAGCAACTGCAGGCCGGCAGCCCCCCACGCCCGCTGCCCCACCCCGGCCGCACTCACTGCTCGGCGCTGATGTACTCGCTCTCCACCGGGCTGCACAGCACCTTGCCCACGCGCACGCCCAGCCGCACGTCCTCAAAGCGGAGGCCCAGGTTCTCCCCGGTGATGGTGAGCCGCGTCCCTCCCTGCCTGGGGCCCGTCTCTGGGGACAGCTGCGGGAAGGCAGAGGCTGGGGCACTAGTAGCCACCTCGGGCCCAGTACAGCCAGGGACACCGTGCCTGGGCAGGTTCGGTGGCAGGGCTGCAGGCAGGTGAGCCGGCCAGGGCGGGGCCAGGGTAGCTGGGCGGGGCCAGGGGCAGGGTGGGTGGGGCCAGGGTAGGGCGGGGCCAGGATGGTGGGGCTGGGCCAGGG